CATAATAACCATAACCTCAAATAAAGGCATGCTCGTACCTTTACTCATATTTGCCTACTACCTCTATATACCTTTTGCATATTTACACTAACAAATAACGCGCATTTTGTTTGAATGGCCTCACGGTAGTTGAAGAAAATTCTCCAACGCACCGAGTAGGCACACAAGCACCTAGCATGTTTTATTTGCACTTACTTACACCCTTTTTTTGTTTGCCTATCAAGCCGGTCAAAGTTCGTAAATGAATAATTGGCCCAACACTAGTCTGTTAGTTGGCTGACTTGCTGGCTAGCTGACCAGCTGTGGCACCAACATAAACCACTTGATAGCATAAACCAGCCGAACGTTAGCGCACGTGTAAGCCCCGTTTTCCTACTCTTCTACTGTAACTGTACTTACATATACACTATTTTTTCGTGCTCGTATTTTTTTTTACTAAAAACTGCGCGATTGTTTTTTTCGCCCTTTTTGTGCTCTCATGTTACTTTGTGTCGTTCTAGCTGCATATTTTTCATGACTTTTTTTCATTAGCGTGGCTTTTGACTTTATTTTTTATATAAAATTTAATTTTTTTTTCGTAGCTTCTGCGCCTGTTATGGAGAAACCACCGCAAAATGTGACCGCATTGGATGGCAAGGACGCGACTATTTGGTGCCGGGCAGTTGGGGCGCCAAATCCGAACATCACATGGATTTACAACGGTAAGTTGAACTGAGAATGCGAGTCGATGTGCATACATACATACACACATTCATATATGTATGTGTATATTAATATGTATGAGTGTTGATGAAAACTGCACTTGAGCGCGCATACACATACGTAAGCATAACGTAGCACTTAAAAAGTACTGTACATACATACATACATATCTACGTAGATATGTGGGTGCATGTTGTTTTTGGACAACACATGTTTGTTTATCTGAAAGTTTTATGTTATTTCGTCTATTCAAGTGAAGTGTCGAAAGTTTTTGGACGTTTTTGGTTGGCATTAGAAGTACAGCACTCAGACATTCATTAGACGAGAATTTTTTCATCTTTACATGAATGAATAAGCAAAGCTTTTTATTTTTGGCTGTATAGGTATTTATGCAATCACTGTACTGTGTTGGAGTGGAAGGAAGTATTTATAAAACAAAATTTCATGCGCTAAAGGTTTGGCAAAAGCGTGCGTAATTGCAGACACCAAATTATAGATAAAGAAATTATTCCAGGAAACTACGTGTAAAAAGTAATTTCTCTGACTGCAATCATTTCTGTTTGACATTATTTTCTATAAAATTTCAACCAGAGCTGGGCACTTTATGATTACGATTACATTTTTATTACATAGTATTACGATTATTGTTATTAAATAAATATTTTTATGCAGACCCTTATTCTAGTGATTTTGTTGATCACTTTTAAAAATCAAAAATGTACACCAAAAAGGAGTTGCGGTTTTTCCACAGGCGTTATAAAAATCTTAAGTTTTACGTGAGCTGTTCTGATTTGAAAATTTCTTAACATTTTTATATACACCTTCTAAGCTTAGACTCTTTTATCATCTAAAGTAAGTTTCTGAAAAAATATTTTTTTAAAATTATTTAATTTCCAGTTAATCTTAAGCTTAATACTTTTCGAAAATATTTAGGCAGAAGTCTTTGAATATAATAAGTTATATAATTCCGATGAAAAACCAATACTAATTTTCTTTTGTACCGAGAGCGATGCACCCTAATGTACATGTGTTGTTGTATATGTATTAAACGCTATCTATTAATAAAGGACATAAATTAAATGCAGCAAATAAGGTGACTCATAGAACGCCGAAGCGGAGTCCGCAGGGTGCACAATTAGCACTACCGGTACGGTGCGCTTATGCTCCTAGGAAGGCTCCGAAAAGAGTTCCAAAGGAACATATGCTTTGAAGAAAAGTGTCTTCGCAATATATATGAAAAAGCGTGCTTTTGTTACTTTTTTTTGCGATCCCCTTCTTGACTAAAAGTTTCATTTTCAACCTTCAGACCAGATACAAAGAAAATAAAAACAAGATAACAAAAAAATACTTTGACTCCTTTTTTATTCCATACTTGGAGCGCTCCGGAAACGCTCATTCATTTCACTCCATATTTGGGGCGCTCGGCATTTGGCTAGCTGGGAAGCCCCATGTACTTGCATATGCATTCAGTTTTCTATAATTAAAGGACAAAATTGAACAAAAAAATATTTTCATAGCCTCATTCTTTACATAACCAAGGTACTTGTGTATAAAAAAATATACTCTGTCTACCTTTCCTGCGTAGCATACATAAATTAGTTGCTTAAATGCAAACGTATTTATCACTTAAGTATTCGTCAATTGTACTCACAAGAGACTCGCCGAGAGTTTTGATTTAATTGATGGCCCATGGAGACTAGCCTGGATGTACTCTTTTTAGGAGCAGCTCGAAAATAATCTACATTGCATTACTCATACGCCCCAGTCAACATAGACAATTGAAATTCACAGCATTCATGCTTACAATGTTACTCATACGACATGGGCTACCAATCAGTACTATTCAAATTCGGTATTATGAACCATGATAAAAATATAGTAAGGTAGAACCGCTGAGAGTCACTTTTAAAATTCTTGACGTTTCCAAACAATTTAATTTTTAAATTTACTCACAAACTCACACACACATTTTCATTTTCAATCTCAAGCAACAACAATTTCGAACAATTTNCGATAACGTGTGCTACAAATAAACTAAAATATAAATTGAAAGATTGTAGTTTTTGTAGGTTTATGAATCTATATTTGCTTATTTGACATAGGAATTGCCTTAGAGGGCAAATGTTGTTGTACTGAATATCAAGCCATGATTGGCGGCGCGCCGGACGGCAGGCAAAATGAAAACGATTGCGGGTTATAAGTATGTATGTAACGGGTGATTTTTTTGAGGTTAGGATTTTCATGCATTAGTATTTGACAGATCACGTGGGATTTCAGACATGGTGTCAAAGAGAAAGATGCTCAGTAT